TAACTTAAGTGAATTAGCCTGGAGAAGAGGAGGTGCAGGGGTAGACCTCATCACTCTCTACGACTACCTGAAAGGAGGTTGTAGCCAGGTGGACGTCAGTCTCTTCTCCCAGGCAACCAGCAGTAGGATAGGAGAGCACGGTCGTAAGATGTGCCGGGGAGATTTAGGTTGCATATTAGGAAAAAATTTTTTTACAGAGAGAGTAATCAACCATTGGAATGGGCTGCCCAGGGAGGTGGTGGATTCACCATCCCTGGAGGTTTTTAAGATGAGACTGGATGTGGCACTTAGTGCCATGGTCTGGTAACCACGGCGGTGTTGGATCAAGGGTTGAACTTGATGATCTCGGAGGTCTTTCCCAACCCGGTTGATTCTATGATTCTATGAAATACAGACACACAGTAGTAAAGGAAGAGTAAAGTTGCCCACAGTAGTAAAGGAAGAGAGATTAATTGAAGAAAAAATAAAGAGAGAAAGAGAGGAGAGAGGCATATTTACCACTCTGGAGGTTACATGTTGACAGGTCAGGAGGGCAGAGGCCAAGGGGGGATGAAGACCCCATGCATGTCTATTTATAGACTCTCGCTCTTGTGGCCACTCCCTCTATGCGGGACCTTTGGCTCACTGCCACTCACTGTCCCCCCAGCCAAAGTCAGAGGTGCCACAGCCACTTAGATTCTCCAGGGGACGCGGTGTGGGTGGGCCACCAGGTGGCCTAATAGGCAGCCCGGCCACATGGCTTTCCCTGCCATGTGCACTGCATGGTTGCACCATGTTGGCTGCAGGCCTAGGCCTAGCCCCTTCCCCCCCCCCACACACCCGTGGTTTATTCAACCCATCAATTGAATAATCCAGTGAGATACAAATTCAGTCTCTGACATTAACAACTGATAAAAGTAATTGTGTTCTGTAAGTCTATTCAGAAGACAACACTTTCTTTATAAGCAAAATCAACAAAGTGTTAGAAATATCTAATGAAAATTCAAATATGTTTGTATTATTAAACATCTTGGTAATACTATGCAGATTATATTTTTTAAATGTCTTGCTTTTTGAAGATCTGTGTATGTTCTTAGAGTAGTATAAACGTATCACTGTACAAAACTTCTAAATTCTCTCTATCATTTTAAAGAATCAGCTACTGACTGATCATGGGCATAATCCACTGATGAAGAAAGTGTTCGATGTATACCTCTGCTTCCTTCAAAAGAATCAGTCTGAAACAGCATTGAAAAATGTCTTCATTGCTTTAAGGGCACTTATTTATAAGGTAAGAAGTTTAAAAAATTTAATCTTCAAGTACTTGTCCGGTTCATTAGTTAACAATATACTATGTAAGAATTTAAGAACTAACATCCCAAATTAAAATTGTCAATAATCAACAACAGTGTGGAATACTTGTCCTTTGAATTGCTATAAAAATTGTTTTGTGTCATAAACTACTGGAACTCTTGTTTTTTTCCACAGATTGAGGATATGAATATATTTGTATTTTTCTTGACATTTTACCAAGACCTGAAGCTAGTTTTAGTGAATAACTTCTTTCTTTTCTTATTTTTCCTCAGTTTCCTTCTACATTTTATGAAGGTAGAGCTGATATGTGTTCTGCACTGTGCTATGAAATTCTGAAGTATTGTAATTCCAAACTGAGTTCAATTCGTACTGAAGCTTCACAGTTACTGTACTTTTTAATGAGGAATAATTTTGACTACACAGGGAAGAAGTCTTTTGTTAGAACACATCTGCAAGTTAGTATACTTTCTTTGTTTTTCTGTGGTTTTAAATATTGTATTTGTAGATGCTCAGTTGCATACCAGCATGTCAGATAAAGCCCTGTCAGATAAAAGAAATTATTAGGGGTTCAAGCAAGGCTGGTACTAAGATTAAGAAGATGGCAATAAAAGTATGTTCAGTACAAGGAAATACTTAGAAACAGTTGAATGGCCCTGTGTTTCATAAGAAATAATTTTTATTTGTCAGTGGCAAATGTCCTTTGTAGATGTTATTTTGATTGTTACATGGCATACCCCGTTGTGTCTGAAGAAGGAAAGGAATGCAGCAACAAGCATGTAAAAGTCTAAAAACAAATAATTGGAAAACTGTGTGTTCTGACAAAGCTGGGAACACTAGTTTGCCAATTTAATGACCTCTTGCTAGTTTACCTGGCAGTCAGTCTTTAAAGCAAAGGATGCTTGTGCATTGAATTACACAAGGCTGGTTTTGATTGCCCATGTTATTGTTCAAGTAATTGGAAAAAAACCCCAAACATTACTTTATTTAAGAGAATAATTTTTCAATTAAAAAGAACAAAACTTCCTTTGTAATTGCTTCATAGGTACATCTCAAGGGTATTTCATGAAATATACTCTAACAAGATATTTGTTTCTGTCAAGGTTATTATTTCAGTAAGCCAGCTAATTGCTGATGTTGTTGGAATTGGAGGAACTAGATTCCAGCAGTCTCTTTCCATCATCAATAATTGTGCCAATAACGACAGAATTATAAAGGTCTGTTTTTATTCTTGTTTCCATACTGTAGAAGGATGCTTGAAGACTCTTTCACAGCATCCTTTGCAATTACGTTTTATCATTTTATTATGCAAAGAATAGGAAAGGTAGTAGTTAACCTAACTTTTTCATGTTTTAGCACACTACATTCCCTTCTGACGTTAAGGATTTAACAAAACGGATTCGTACAGTACTGATGGCTACAGCTCAGATGAAGGAGCATGAGAATGATCCGGAAATGCTTGTAGACCTCCAGTACAGCTTGGCAAAATCTTATGCTAGTACACCTGAACTAAGGAAGACGTGGTTAGACAGCATGGCAAGGATCCACGTTAAAAATGGAGATCTTTCAGAGGTAAGTTAAAAAAAAAATCAAACTAGTTTTAGATTTGTAATAAGCTTAAGCTTATCTTTTTAGAAGCTGAATATAATAGAATATGCAGTAGTTAGGGTGCAATGTAATAAGTATTTTTAATACGTTTTAATTGTTAGTAGATTAGTTTCGATAGCTGATAAGTTTTTGTCCTATCCAAGTATATCTGTAAGTAATTTCTGATTATTAATGCAAGGAACGTGTTTAATTGCTGTAGCTGATGTGCTGCTAAGAATGGAATGCTCAATGCAAGCCATGGAAGACACAGGCCCTCTGCTTAAAAATAGCTTTGTTATTAGTTGCTAAAACACTTAAAGCCACTGAGTTCCCCTCCAGTTGCCTTTATAGAATTAGCTTGATTCTGTTACAGACTGCGTACTAGAAAAACTCCTAATATTCTGAAAATTGACAAATAACTTCTTTTGTTGTTTGAAAAAAGAAAGCTATCTGATTCCACTGTGCTGTTAAAATATTTAATTCTAGCAAAAAGGGGAATTGAGATTTGGAATTCTTATATGTCTTTATGTAAGTATTTTATCAGGATACAGGTGAATTTTGTCTCTTTCTAGAAGTTTGTTCTATCTGAAAGTAAATCTCTTCGTATGATACCACCGAATGCATAAATATCTGTTAAAATTAGCATCATGTAAGCAAGTAAATACCTCCAGGAAATAAAAGCTGCTATCTTCCTAACTCAAGTCTTAGCACTAGAATTCTCTTCTTCTATATGGTAACAACACAGAAGGTGTATACAGTACTCTGTTACTAGCTTGTCTTTTGAAAGGAACAACTTCAGCTTTCTCAGAAGACAAGCTCTTTTAGTCCTTTTCAAGTCTGTTTTTGATTTTTTGATTATATTAAAATCTTAGAATCTTTGACTATGCGATTAGATGAGGTCATCTGTAAATCACTGTATTAGGGAGGGGTTCGAACATACTGAAGCTTGTAAACCACGACACCGTTAAAAGCTTAACAAAACTGGTATTTATTACCAAGAGGTGGCCAACAAAACGAACAAACCCAAAAGGGAGGAAGAAGGAGAGAAATAAGCCCCCAGCACGACCTCCCCAGTTACCCAGCTGTTGCCTATAAAGTTATCTTACCGACCTAGCATGCCTATAATTACCCATAGCAGAAGCTGCATCCTTGGAGAGTCAGTAAGTTCACAAACTGGCAGGCGTTCCTGCCAAAAGGCAACGTTGTCCTTGATATGAAGTTAGCTCCCGACCAAGAAATGGCTATCTGCTTTTTATACAATTAATTGAGTGACCACAACCTCCCAGGTGTGGCCAGCACCGCCCAGCCAGAGGCCCTCAGTCCCACCTCCTTGGTTATATAAGTGCATCTCTTCTGTGCATGCGTGAGAACTTCGGAAATCTCCTAATGCACGCGCAGTATACTTTGGGGGTCTTTCTTAATTGAGTCTGGGGGCGCTACCTCATCCTCCTCCTCCTCAATCTCTCCTTCAAGCGACCTTGGAGGACAATTAGCCAATCACAGAACACCAATTAAAACAGTTTATACAAGAAGCTCTCTTCAAGGACAACTTTCCCGTTTATCAGTGCTTGTTTTCCCATAACTTGGCAGGGAAAGAGCAAAGCTTTCACAGGTGGCAGGGCCAAACACAGACCAAAAGTATCAGCATAAATTCACCCTAGTACAATCACCAAGCTCAACCCTATACAAAGTATGTATTAGAATTTCTGGGAGATTCTTACCTTTTTCCTTTGCCTCGTCTGAGATTGTGCAGCCTCAGTAAACATGTAAACAGTTCAATTGATAATTACAGTTAGAATAACACTTTGCTGAAAGCCTAAGCCTCTTTAGTAAAATAAGAATCTTGAATCTTTGGGTTTTTTTGGTCCTTTCTGTGGAGAAAGGTGGCCAATGTCAACTTCATAAAACATCTCAAGTATCTGAAGATTTCTCTGTCCCCCTTCTTTTTCTTCTGTTGTCCAAACTACACCAACCAATTTCAATTCATAGATCAGATTCAAATTCATAGATAGATTCAAATTCCATTCATAGATCAGATTTCTTGGCTTTTGCTGCTTTCAAATGGTCTGTCACCGGTTTCTTCTACATTTTTCTAGGTCTGAAGCCAAAAGGCAGACAAAATAGGTTAGCGGAAGAACCACCAAATGTTGACTAGAATAATTAATAATTTTTTGTTTCACTTAACACTTAAAATACATCCCAGGAAAGATTTGTCTGATTTTATTACAGCACGGTGTTCCTACATTGTAATTTGTGATCCATGATCACTCTTAGATTGTGTACTGCTGCCCATGTTATTCAGTGTTCTGGTAAAGAAAGAGTGAGTGCACTTGCACAGTTGTTGTTTTGCATAAATGAGATGGAGAATTTTTACGGTAGTCATAGGACATCTCCAGCAAAAAACTGAAGAAATTGTCCTATTCTAGGGTTCTTCTTATAGATGTTGTTTTTCATAGTTGTGTTTTAATGGTATTTTATAAGATTACTATTTCTGTTTTAGGCAGCAATGTGCTATGTCCATGTAGCAGCACTGGTTGCAGAATATCTCACAAGAAAAGGTATGATTTTGAATCCTTATTTTATTGTGTGTATTTTCTTATTATAGTCCAGGAAAATCAATAGTTTTATCTGAGAAAGTTTAGGTATTTCATTTTTCACCAAGGAAAAAGTTTTGACCTACCTAGGTAGCTTAATCACATATTTAAGAGTATACTTGCATTTCTAAGGGGCAGCATTACAGATGAAGGTGAAGTAAAATTTTTAGGAATGTAAAAATTTTAATTTTACACCAGAGCTGCTAATTGCTGAATTCAGATCCTCTCTAAAGCAAACTTAGCAGTGAATATTCTTGTTCAACAAGCAGTCTCTCACTGCCTATAGGGAAACGTGGCATTGCAAGAGAAGTCAAAATAAATTTGTACAGATTTTCAGGTGCTCAATCAGTGATAAGAATGCTCAGAATGCTTCACCTGTCTTGGTACTCTGTGCTAGCAGCTCTCTGTAAAAGCAGGTTCTGATGACCCTTGAGATAGGGTAGAAAATTGTCCTTCATCCATAGGATCAGAAGGGTTCTCAGTCAGGGATTTGAGAAAATAAAAGCTTATATGGATTTTATTAAGAAAAATACATCTTTAGGAGAAAAATTCAGGAATCTGTTAAGACTGATTATGATGTTGAGCTAGTGTTTTGGTTTTGTAGGCAAATTCACTTTCACAGCTTTTTAGCTTTGCCTTTGCATGACATTTGAAAATGAAGCAAAGTCGCGAGTCTAAAAGATACCTTTTCTCCATTCCTTTTGTGCTTCTTGCCAAATACTTCAGTGTATAGGCTATCTCCTCTGCCCCAATGATTTCAGAAACTTCTGAGACCAAATCTGGAATGAAGTTGCTTGTCAAAGTTACTATGTCCTGTTGGAAGCCTGATGGTAACTGATAATTGGTGATAGTCTGTATTAATTTGTGAGTCCTTTGGGTGATCTGGTATTTTTTTATACTGTCTTATAAGACTTATTTCCACTCGGTAATATAAAGGGTCAAACTTCTACCTGTGGTTTTTCCAGGAGCCAAAAAATCCCATGCATATGACACAATCATTCAATAAAACTTCTGGTCAGACTCCTACCTGAACAGAATGAATCTTTGTAGGAAGGAGCTGTGAAATAAATATGTGCAAATCCTTGTGCTTCCATACTATTTAGTGATTGTTCTTGAGGCTTTAATTAATAGTTTTTGGTCAAAAATCCTGGTTTCTTAATTCAACAATCTGATGTAATGAAAGAAGAGCTAAACAGAATGGGTAAAAGAGATAGATTTAATGTTGGAACGTTCTATACTCCATTTTTGCTAACTATTTTTCTTCACTAAAGGAAGTTAGATTGCTATTTTGTTAGGTTTTTTCCTGCTTGTCTGTATATGAATAATCTGGTTTGCCATCCTTTGATCATTTTGTAAAGTTAACGTCAGTCCATTCATAGCATTAAGACTGGAAAAACTGATATGCCAGGGCCCGTTCCTGTACGCAGTTTGAGCATGACTTCGCAGTAGTTTAATTAAATACTGTAAAAGTTACTGTGAGTACCTTAGACTCAGGGTGGAGTAGATCAGTCAGAAGTTTAAGAAAAAGTAGGAGGATTCAAATTGCTTATTTTAGTAGGTAAGAGTCCACATATTAACATTACTGGTTTCTTAAAACCTATTTATACATACAGAGTGATGTGAGGTCTTGTATTTTAATCATGCAGTGGGAGACTGATCTATTTATTTCTTTGTTTGTTTATTTGTTGGTAGGTATATTTAAACATGGCTTCTGCCTTATAAAGAATCACAAAATGGCCTAATGTTATCCTGCTGAAGAAAAGTAAATTTTTCTATATTTCTCTTTTAATGCCAGGGATGTTTAGGCAAGGTTGTACTGCTTTCAGAGTAATCACACCAAATATAGATGAAGAGGCTTCAATGATGGAGGATGTTGGAATGCAAGATGTTCACTTCAATGAAGTAAGTAAGCATGAAAGTGTTAGAATTGATGCACATGGAAGTGCTGGGCATTTTTGTAAATTTTATGTTTCAATCTGGAGACTGACTAATATGAAGGGTATAATAATTGTTTTCTTAGCCACTACATTTATCATAAAACTAAAATAAAAAATATCTGTGAGGTGTGCCAGCTTCAGAGAATGTATACATGTATTTTAAATAAAGCGCTAGTACATCAACTCAATACCACTTCTGAAAAAAAAGTAAACAAAATGGGGTTTTATGCTATTTGACTGGATGAAGGTTATTGTGGCTTATTTATTAGAGTTAGCAAGATCTGTTGCTTTTTAAAACTGACTTTGATTTAGAGTGTTACTGCACCAGCAATCATGAAAATGTATTCACTGGTTTTTGCTGTTTACAGTTTTCCTAAGCAAATATGCCATAACAATGGAAGTGGTTTTACTGACACCAGACTTGTGTTTTTTCTGGCCTTGTGTCCTTGCTGATCCATCTGTGCTAGTAAATTTTACTAGTAAGAAGCCTGTATAAAAATATTTTGAATAATCTTGCTGATGAAGAGCTACATCTACACTATGTATTTGCTGGTATACTTGGGGAAGAGAGGGATGGCCCACTACTTGCAGTAGCTGTGTTGGAAAAATCCCTGGTGTGTAAGCATAATTGTAAAAAAATATTTTTCTTTTGTGTTTTAGTTAGTGTGTGGTAAAGCTGTATGAGAAAATTATTTGACTGTGGGGGGAAGCTCCACAATTAAAGTTTGAGGTAGTGCAAAAGTGAGGCCATGTTCCATGGGAGCAGTGGAGCTGGTTAGATGGTTTCCATGGACACGGCCTTGGGTTGCAGGGAGTACAGGGTTGAGACGGTTTGATAATGTGCAGGTGCTGGATTCCTGGATGTTGTTGTAGGAATATGTTTGTGTTGTGTGTGAAGTTAGTTAGCTCAATAAAAGGCTGCCTGCCACGCTGAGCAGGCAGACATCTCTTTGTCTCACCATCCTCGTGTGTCTTGTGTGTCCTTCTTTTCCCCTCGGACCAAGACCTCACGACAGGTACCCCACGACATTTGACTGTGCAAATTGTGGCTGTACTAACAGATTTAGGAGGAACAGGTAAAAGACCCAGTGGTTTAAGCCTGGATTTAGGCCTAGGGTACCAGTGTTTTAGCCCTAAGTTCTGGTATTATGGTGCTACAGCCACAGAAATTTTTGACTTGCCTTTTTCTGGGAAGGCAGGAGTTTTGATTACTTGAAATGGGAAATGTAGTGCTTTTTTCTTTCCAACGATAACCAATAGCAGATTGTTTCATGGTTTGTTTTTTTTTAATTTATGTCCTGGTTTTTTAAATCACTGATTCTCCTGATCCAGCATGGAATTTAGCATGTTACTCAAAGGAAAATGCAAGCTGCTCTAAGTTAACAAAGAGTAGGAATTCTAATGAATGCTGCTGATGGAAAGTTTTGTTTGAAATTCTTGTCAGTGTTTCTCTGCCAAACCATTTGTCAGAGTTAAATTCTTTTGTACTTTTTTAAAGTTTCTTCTCCTTAGTCAGTCCCTGCAAAAACAATATACTGCTTTTTCTGGGTCATTGAACCCTGCACAAATTTATTTCCATCTCTCAGTATTTCCTTGGAACGGAAGTAAGCCAAGAGTGAAATTATAAGCCTGTATAGCTTGCAGAAGTATCAAACCAAGCCAAATTTCATTTCTCCCTGCATGCAACCCTTTCTAAACTTAACCATGTAGTAATCTAACTGATTAAATATTGAAAAAACTTACTGTTTTTCAGGTAACTTCTAAAAGTTATCTGAAATGTGGGAAGAGTAATAAGAGGGAAGAAGTAATAATAGTAATAAAGAGTAATAATCGAGAAGAACTGTTTGGGTTTAGTAGACTAAAAATCACGGATAAATTATGATTGTTAGTATTTTACAGAAGTACTTCAAAACAGGTAGTCTAGTTGCTTAAGGAATACGAACATATTCATTTATGGAGTGTTTCCTCAGTATGTTCATAGGTAAGCAGAACTGTATTTGTCTAACAAAAAAAATTATATGACAGATCAATCGGTTACAGCAGTCAGAAAGCGGAAACATATCTTTCAAGCTGTTTTTTACTACTACTGAGCAAAATAATGCTCTGATGGGAATTCTTCCTGTATGTGATGACCAGGCATATGGAATTTCTTTTTTAAAACTCGAGATTTCCTGTTTGCTAGTTACTTAAGAGTTAAATCTCCAAAAGAGTAATTACTGGTATTGAAGGATCAGGGGAATCCCTTCTTGTTTCTAAAAGGGACAAAACATCTTTCATATTCTCCAGTTTATATAAAATCTTCCTAATTAAGTGAAATTTGTCTTAAAACTTCAGGTAGTTTCTCATTTAAAAAGTTTTAAATTTTAGAATTCTCAATTTATTTATCATTTTAAAATAATTTTCTGTCAGGTCAGGGTTGACCTGACTCATTTCCTAAACTAGCCAGTTGAAAAAACCCAAAATTTAATTTTGGGGGTTGTGTGGTTTTTTGTTTGTTTGTTTGTTTTTTTAACAAGGCTACTGCATTTATTTTGTTAAGCAGTTGTTTACCTATGACATTCCATGAGGGGCTTTATTTTAACTTGCAGATGGGTAAATGAAAGAGCCTCACAGGAATGCAGTATCCTCTCGAAGTTGTACAAGGACAAGTGCAAAGCCTTGCACCTGCAGAGAAAAAAAAAAAGGCAAAAAATCAATATGGGCTGAGCAGCAGCTCTGCAGAAAGACCTGGAAGTTCTAGTGGACAAGGAGTTAAATGGGAATCATTAGTGTGGCTTTGTGGAAACAAAGGCCAACGGCATGCTGCCTTGTATTAGAGAGAGGATTGAGTCAAGAAGCGGAGGGAAGTGGGTTTTTTCCCTTTTACTCAGTATTTTTGGAATGCCATCTCTAATCTTGTGTCTAGCACTGACCCCCACAAGTCAAGAGAGGTATCAACAAACTGGAAAAAATCCACCTCCTAAAGTGGTTAGTAGAAGAATCAGACTGTTCCAAGAGGTGCACCATTAAAAAGCAAGAGGCTGTTCTCACAGGTTACAGGGGAAACTGCTTGGATATATGGAAAAAAACTCTTCCCATGAGAATGGATAAGCATTGAAACAGGTGGCTCAGAAATGTTGTTCTTTTCTCCCTCCTATGAACTCTCCCACTTGAAGCTTTTGCTCTTTATGTGGAAACAAAATTTTACTGTTTTGCTACATTTGGGTGCCCTCTGGTGTCTGAGTTAAGACTCATGTCATAAAACAGTGTGGACATCCCTTGTGGTCCAGCAGTGACACTGGTCTTTCAGTTCCCACCACTTGGTTGCTGAGGATGGAGATACTGTGCCCCCCCATAATGACTGGGGGAAAGGAGATGTTTTAAGCTCTGTTGCAGCTTAAGGGTAGCATTTTTTCAGTCTAATTTATGCTTTCGGTATTGAAGTTGACTTTTCATAGTGATGTCTTTATGCTGTCTTAGTCCTCTGCCAAAGGGAGGCAATGGAATAGAGTAGCATTAGATCCTTTCTAAGGATAAAAGGAGTTACTTCCAGCTTCTGGCTTCACCACTGTGATGTAGGAATGGTATAAGAAGGTCTAAAGAGTATCTAAATGAAAAATGCTGTTTGTGGTAAATATAAAGATTATGTATGTACACTCAAACCCTTCTGTCTTGTTTTGTTTCCTTTGCAATTTTTGATTGCCAAAATAATTTAAATCACTATGAGTAGATAATTATTGTGAGGCAAGATCTCCCTTTTCGCTGGGAATAACTTTGATGTAATTATTTGCTGTGGTTCTCTTGAGTACTGAATTGGTTTACATTTTCAAATGTGTATCCAAATACAGGATGTGCTGATGGAATTGTTGGAGCAGTGTGCTGATGGACTCTGGAAGGCAGAACGCTATGAACTCATTGCTGATATATATAAACTTATAATTCCCATTTATGAAAAACGGAGAGATTTTGAGGTACTAAATTCATCATAAGTAATATCTATGCAAGCAAAAAAATCCTGAATTTTCTAGTCATAACTGCATGATGCATTGGACATCACAGAACAAGAGTATTAACATTGTAACTGAAGTTTAAATGTGTTGAAAATTTTGTTTTCTTTTTAATAATTAAAAATGTTTTTCTTTAAATATAAATAATTAAAAATTAATCTTGCATATTGTCATTCTGATACAAGTGCTAAACCTATTACTGCCATTCAATAAAACAATGTTTTTAGTTGTTACTAACTACAAGGACATCATTTATTGTTGTTTTAAGGTAGCAAAGTTCTGCTTTATTCTTTTACCTTGTTATGGTTTTATTTTTAGAGACTTGCTCATTTATATGACACTCTTCATCGAGCATACAGTAAAGTTACAGAAGTTATGCATACAGGCAAGAGACTGCTGGGAACTTATTTCAGGGTAGCATTCTTTGGACAAGTGAGTATAACTTACTTTCATTTGTCTGCTCTGTACAGTAAGAAAAACCTGAATTTATTTTACAAGGTATACTATTTCATCTCCTGTATTGATACCATGACATGAAAAACACAAGAAATGTGTCCTGTAGGAAATAATTGAACGCCATCAATAATTTATTTTAAAACATTTATCAATTCCGATAAAATTCTTATTATTTTCCTCAGTAAATTTTTTTGCCTTTTTTCCTTTCTCTTCTTTTATTTACTACCTTAAGGCAGCGGTAAGTTTTCTATAATGTCAGTTCTTAGCAATGTATTGATTTAATGTCTGTAGTGCTACAGTGTGGTTTGCAAGGCTGCTTCTTAGATTGGTATGCATTAATAGCCATTGCAATTCAAAAAATAACATTAAGTTCCATTTAGAGAGCAGATCACTCTTTTCTATGCATCAATATTGCATGCTTCAAACCAAAGTTCTGCCTGTGTATTGGACAGCTTCATGTCCTCTAATATATGTCTAGAATGCCTCTGTATCTGTATGGTATCACGCAGTATCAAATAATACACTTTCTACATGCATAGCCCAGTTGCTTAGTTGTTCAGCTGAGCATGGAGAATTGTAAAATACTCTGAGCAGTATAACTTCACATGTATTCTGTTGTCTTTTATAACTTTATAGCAATACCAGTTTACAGACAGTGAAACAGATGTTGAGGTAATTACAGTAACCACTTACAAAGCAAGCAATGCAGTAAAACCTACTGCATTTCACCTTAGTTTGGTGTGGGTATTTTTGTCAATCTAGCCTGTGTTTATACATGATATGTTGTGCTTTTCTATTTTGTCTGTTTCGTTTATGACAAAAATATTTATTTTCTGGTTTCAAACATGAACTCAGACATGGCTTGTTGTTTTAAACCAATGACCTGTTTCACTTTCCATGTACTCTATTGTGCATTTAGTTACAGGTATAAAACCTTACGTAATAAAATCAAGAAGTATATATACCAATATAGTACAACATAAAATTAAGATATTTGCGTAATTAAATTTTATTTTCTGGAATTAATTTTTTGTGACTACATAAGGAAAATTTTTTTTATGTAAACTATTGCCAAAATGCTCACTTGTGAATCAAACAGTGCTGTTGGGCAAGATTTCTGTTTTGGTGAGTGAAACAGTGCTGCAAGTTCACTTTTAAATAAAAGTGAAGGAGACTTATCTCAAAGGCTTGGCACACCATAAGATTGCAACAAACTTTAAAAAAATTAAATTCTGTGTTTCCATTATCTTTCACTCATGTTGTAGTAGAGACTTACATTTTTCTGTTGTTTTTTTGTTCTCTTAAGAAAACTTTTTACTTAGATTTTAATTTCTCTTTATTTACATTTGCTTGAATACTGATGTTATATGTTTATATTTCCTTTGAACCACACACATTATGTCCATCTCAATCGTTGCCCTCAATCTTTTTCCCCAAGATTTTGATTACTTCATTTTTTACAGGGTTTCTTTGAGGATGAAGATGGAAAGGAATATATCTATAAAGAGCCTAAACTCACACCTCTTTCAGAAATTTCCCAAAGACTCCAAAAACTCTACTCCGACAAATTTGGATCTGAAAATGTCAAAATGATTCAGGATTCTGGCAAAGTATGATCTTCATTCTCTCTAAAAAATTCTAATAAATTACTTTCAGTAATTCACTTGAAGTACTGTGGGATCCACTGCCTCTTAGTCATTTGACACACAAGCATACATGTCTAAAAACTCTGCTGTTTGAAAGGCATGACAGAAATATTATCTCCTACTAAGCTTGCCTTTTAGAACAACCAAAAAGCTTAATTTCTCTAGTGTTACCTCTCAAAACAATAATTGTATATTAGAACAAATTTGGATTATGATCATATTCTGTGTTAACTTCAGCTATATTTCTTGCCCAGTTGTGCACAGTCATTTTTTGGAAATTTTTCCCTTTTTACACTTCAACCTTGGACTTTATGGTGATTTTTGCCTCCACCTCAGACTTTATTTTCTCTTCTTATAATTTCCTGGCTCTTTTGTTTCTTTATTCTACCAGTAAGATCAACACTTTCCATGCCTCTTGGCCTGAGAGTGCAGTATTGGTGGGCGTTTCAATATTGGAACTTTAAAAGGAGAGGAGAACTTATTGCAAGGACTAGGTTTAATAATCATGAGTGATTTACAAAAACCCAAAAAATAAACAAACCAAAACCAACAAAAAAAATCCGCAATGTGTTGTAATGCATCTAGTTGCCTTGTCTTCCTAATAGTTAAAAGCTGAAAGCAGGAAATCCCTGTGAAGGCATGAAGATTTCCTGTATTTTCAATAATTTAAAGGTTAAGAGACTAAATTTAATTTCTGAAAGTTGTGTAACTACTATTAAATCCACTTTATTCACAATGCAGCTATTTGATTTTTTTTGTCCCGTTTTTAAGGTAAATCCTAAAGATTTAGATTCAAAATACGCATATATTCAAGTTACGCATGTAATTCCATACTTTGAAGAAAAAGAGTTGCAAGAAAGAAAAACAGATTTTGAAAGGACTCATAACATTCGTCGCTTTATGTTTGAGATGCCTTTTACTCAAGCTGGTAAAAGACAAGGAGGAGTAGAAGAACAGTGTAAGCGACGGACTATTTTGACAGGTACTGATTGAATGGAATGCTTTGACGGAAGCATTAAATGCATCAAATGGTCTAATTCTGTTCTGTATAGGTTTTTCCATTTCACTTAATGAAGTCCTTTATAGCTATCAGCTAAAATCCTTTTCATATTTTTAGCCATAACTAGGTTTTTCGGATTGGTTTCTTCAGTAGAGAATCCTCAAAATTATTATCTTTTCTTCTTTAAGTTTCAAGAATTGTGAATCTAGAGTCTAGCTTTCCTTGCTCTTAGAAAAAGACTATTTTGTGTTTTGTCCCTGTTAAGTGTGAGTTTCTGTATTAATAGAGTTGTGAAAACAAGTAAGTGACTTTATAACGTTAGCTGTCCATGGCCAGTACTTGTGAGGAAATAGAAAATACAGCTTTGCTATTTTTGATTCTCCTCGAAATATGTGAATGATAAGCAATTCTTTTTACAGTTCTCATATGAATTAAGTTCCAATGGTTTATTTCTTTGTGGTTGTTCGTAGCAGTAATGACAATGATCGATCTTTGCTGTAATGAATGTAAAGGTGTGCATATTTACATCTTCAGTGTTTTATTTCCCTGTACATTACTATTTCTAATTATGTAAGTTATAATATATATACATTATTATAATATATAAGTTATTGAATTGGGCAACTAGCTACATCAAAATGAGATTGAAGATTGTCTCAAAACTCACCTTATTCAAAAACATTTTCCTAACTATAGTAAACTTCTTTCCGTCCATAGCTATACATTGTTTCCCATATGTGAAAAAGCGCATTCCAGTAATGTACCAGCACCATACTGATCTAAACCCAATTGAAGTAGCCATTGATGAAATGAGTAAAAAAGTTGTAGAACTCAGACAGCTTTGCTCTTCAGCTGAAGTAGATATGATCAAATTGCAGCTGAAGCTACAGGGAAGTGTCAGTGTTCAGGTAAGACCTTTGCCATGCAGCTATTTCATTTGCTTCTGTCCCTGGAAAATTATATAAGTAGCGTTTTGTAATTAGTTGCTATTCTGTATGTTCCAGAACATCATGAATTAGAAATATTCTCATTGTTTGCAGTTATTTCCTGAATAGGAAAAACACTAAAAGTGTGTCATATAAACGCTGATCATAGACAGTTACATGAAAGAATTAAGATTCATCTCTGGAATCTGTTGCTGTCTGAGCCCCACCAGGTTTTGGTGTAAAGCTGAAACTACAATAAAGTAGTGAATGAATAGGAGGATGAATGAACATATTTGGCCTAGCTGTAGGTCTGCCCACAGTAGGTCCAACATATTTTTTAAGATCCCTATCGAGATAGAGAGTAACAAAATATAGGAGGAAGTTAGTGGCAGCAAATCTCACTGTGCAACATTTCTTTTTGCCTAAGGCAAACAAGAACTGAACATATAAAGAAATCATCAGACTCCCCAAAATAGGCTACATGGTTTTAAGTGCAATAATTTTTAAATGTTTTTAAAAAAACAATGTTTTTAAAACAATAGTTTTAGCATGTACAAATCAATATGGTAAGGATCTTCAAAATGAAGTGGCAAAAGTGCTGCTCTACTATTTTTAACTGATTTAAAACAAAGGAACTGTAAGCACAGTCATCTGAAATGAGCAGTTTTCATGTTGAACAGAAAAGAGAAAAAAGCCAAACCAAGGTTTCAGAATCAGCAAGTTGTCGGGCTAGTGTTTGGGGTGAGAAGGAGGGGCTCTTACTGTTAATATAAAGGAATAATAGAGATGAGTCAGAACTCACTGAATCCACTTTTCATGTAGCTGCCATAAGAGTGCAATTAAATGTCTATGAATTATTGCAGAATTTTCAACTTGGAAAACAGTTTTTAATAGATAAGCAGACCAAACAGTATTAGATTTAGCTCATTTTGACGCCCTAATTTCATAAGCAAAGATGACAGATGGACAGTATCTGCAGTTACTTTGCCACATCACTGAAGTGGTTTCTTTGTGCCAGGACAGGTTACTACAGATTACTGGAGAGACCACTTCTGCTCTTATGTTTCAGCTCTAGCAGTTTTCTTGGTTTAGAAACCCAGCTTTTTTGGAATCAGTGTGTTCTCATAAGAAAATAAATCTGATAGACACCTGCAGTACCTGTTATTGCTAAGACAATGTCAGATAACTGAGTATTTTTTAATTCTTGTTCTTTTTAGGTTAATGCTGGTCCATTAGCATATGCAAGAGCTTTCTTAGATGACACAAACACCAAAAGATATCCAGACAATAAAGTAAAGCTACTAAAGGAAGTTTTTAGGTATGGTGTGGTAGGTTTGCCTTTTTTTGGAGGTGGGGGAAAGGGAAGAAGTTTACTTTTCTTTCTAAACTCATACCATAAGAATTTTTTAAAAACTTTTAACTTTTATAGTGTTCTGATTGCATTAAAATATACTTTGAACTGACATTTTAAATCAATATTTTGGATTTCTGATTGAAAACTTCTTTATTTTCTCTAAATCAGGCAATTTGTTGAAGCCTGTGGCCATGCTCTGGGTGTAAATGAACGACTTATAAAGGAAGACCAGTTGGAATATCAAGAAGAAATGAAGGCCAACTACAGAGAAATGGCAAAAGAGCTTTCTGAAATAATGCATGAACAAGTATGTGCTGAAATTAAGTTATACATACCGTCATTCAGAATGTAATTATAATGTGAAAGCAATAGGAAAAATGTATGTAATGCTTTATACAAAAGGATTGTTTCTTTTTTTTTTCTTTCTGTTGGAGAATAAGCATGTCATGAAATTGTGGACCTTAATTTTTTTTCTGTTTGAGAATTTTCTTGGCACCAGCCTGGTTTTTTGTAGGCAAGGAAGACTGCAGTAAAGATAAACCAAATTTAATTAAATTATTATGTGTGGTTGCAGAGGTCTCTATTCAGTGACTCAAAAAGCTAATTTTAGTCTGTACTTCATGGTAACTGTAGGGGGATTTGTTCTGAAAGCTTAGCCCTTTTTCATTAGATTTTGGAGATATAAACAATTACTTTTGCAACAGAGTTACATCTTTCAAGAGGTATTTCAATACATTTTCTTGAGGGAAGCCCACTACTGACAAGCTAAAGATATGGGGGAAGGAAAACCAGAACTCTTGTGTAGTGAAACGTAGGACCTTGCATCTGGGTTCTGTAGTTGAAATGTCTCCTGACTTCAAAAAAGATATTATTTCCAGGAGGACAGGAAGGACTGAAGTTTCGTGCTTGATCCCTGCCTTCTTGACACTTTTATTCATCATATTCATCACTTAAAGTTCCTTTCTTTTCATCCACTATTACTTGTATAACCTTTTCCCAGAGCTGTAGAGTAGTTCTTAACCCTCAAGACCTACATTTCTGCCCCACAAGAAATAACTGTGTTTTCTGATAATATTTTACCTTTAAACACAAGTCTATGAGACTTCCTTAGATGTATGACTATAATAGAAACTTTTCTTAGTCTAAGAACCAATGCATCCTAGTATGCATTTGATAGAAGTAGGAGCTCTCAGTTTCTCTTGTCTATATGAAAAAACTGTAGGCTTTACTCAGAAATCAAACTGTACAGGAAAAGTCAAACTTAAGACCTACCTGAGGCATTCAGTCTATCTGACATTTAAACACGCTTGTAATATTCCAGCTTTTTTTTTCAGGATTGCGTGATTTTATCCATTTACTATTTTTTGACATCTCTAAATTACTCTATTATTATCTGAGAAATACTTACTCAAAAATCTAGTCAACTTGATGGAATAACAGCCTATCTGCAGGATTATCTAAGAGAGATTTGCCTTTATTCTACCCTTGTTTAGATGGTGTCCAAAACTTCTATAGCAATATTTTTCTGTTCAGAAATGTGTTGCTTGTCTAAAGTTCACTTCTCATGCTTTCTTGCTCTCTGTTATTTCCTGACATGGTTTTCTCAGGTACTGTGCTATGAGTGGCTCTGTGATGTGATACCATTATGGTGAAGCACATGAATATGGCAAGCACATAGGCTTTATTTTCATTCTCCTATTTTGATATCCTATCATAGAGAAGAGCTTATGACAAAACTAACTCATTTTAACCACCAATGATAGAAAATATTGTGAAACAAAGTTTATAGGAAGTGATACCATTTTTCCAAAATTCGTGTGGTTTTCTTTTTTTTAATAAAAACCAGTATCTTTCACATATGCATGTAGAAGAAAACAGAAAAAGAGATTGCTTAGCTGACAATAGTGGGACAGTTTGACTATATTTCAATGTGATTTATTGAAAAGCAGAACACAGGAAGGTTCTAGAAAGGAGGATAACTGATTGGAAAGCTGATTAAGATGAACAAAGTACTTGGAGAATTAGACAGCTGTACAGAATATCCCTTTTGAAGAGGGAGGCAAGTGTTTTGGTCAAATAATTTGATGATAAAGGCAAGAATAGCATTCCTCTGACGTAGGAAAAGGTAAAAGAATATAATGACAATTTGTATACAAGCAAAAATACTTTGAACTCAGTGCTAGATTTGGATGTTTAAAAAATGCTAAAGTGTGTAAATTTCCAAAGATTGATGATAAGAAAATGCATGTAATGCCTGAAACTTCAGGAGTAAATCACATTGCCCCTTTTTCTCTTTGTTTACTTTTAGAAAAACAACTGATATATATAAGATAGGCTGAGCACAATATGAAAGTACATCACTGACTGCAGTATATACTATTAGCCTACCACTGTGTTCTTTTTATACAAATGTCATTAGTTGTAAATAATTAAAACATGCAATGTTGTTGATGGTTTTGGGTTTTTTGGGTTTTGTGATTTGTTTTTTTTTTAAATTAGACTCCCCTGAAGTAGCTAATTTTAAAAACTCCCCTGAAGGCTTAGAAACATCAGGTTCTTTCACTGAAATCTTGAAAAATGTCACCTTTATGTGCCTGCCTATTGCTGTCCTGGGAAAAATAGCTTTGCACTGTGTTTGTTCTAATGTCGCTGAATAAACCATTAGCTGTATTGCAACAGTGGGTTTTTAACAACTGCAAATATTTTGTTCTAAAATATATATAAAAGAATCTTAACAGATTTTTCTTTTTTTTCTCCTTTGCTGCTTGCCAATATGATCAGATGGGATGGTAATTAGTTTTCTCTACTTCTGTTCTCTTAGTTTGTCTAATAATTCCTTTTTTTTTTTACAATATTTCTTATCGTAGTATCAATTTGTTTATAGCTGTTAAGCATGAAGTCTTTCTGGTGCTTCAATAGCTTTTCGTAAGAAAGAAATGCTCAAATCATACCTCTAAGGTTAAGAAAGGAAAACCAAAAAAGAGCAGAAAGTGAGCTTGTTGTCACTGTGAATCTCCTTTTTTAAGTTAAAAGGAGGAATGAGAGGAACTATCTAAGCATCCTCTACAGAGGACAATGTAATATCTAAATTAGGAGAACTGATATTGGAGAAATAACTACTGCCCCTGCCTAGGAGAGGATGGCTGAATAGAGTAACCAGCCTTAAGAAGCTCTGTGCAATTGAGAAAGTACTGGGAGGTTGAGTTGATAAGCAGCGCATCATGAAATTGATCAGCTGTCTCATTTTGTAACAATTTTGTAAATACGTGTTTTTTATTTTAAGATTACTCCAGTTGAAGAAAAGGCCAGTGTCATGCCTAACTCACTACACATTTTCAACGCCATAAGTGGAACTCCAACAAGCACAACAGTTCATGGGATGCCCAGTTCTTCTTCAGTTGCATGATTGTTTTGTAAAGGAAAGTATGTTCGTTTCTTTCGAAATTTGTGGATTGGCTTCATTGTGTGCAAACTCAGGATGATCTTGAAGCTAAATGTTGGGCACGTGCAAGCTGCATAATTCATACGAATGTTTGAGCACACTTAGCAAATAGCAGTTACTGGTAATAGTCTTTTAGAATAAGAGAGACGCACATATATTTTTTAATCTTGCTGGTAAAATTTAAAAGTGTTCACAATGTCATTGCAGAAGTGCGTGTTGGAAAATTATAAAGTTGAAGCTAGCTTCTGTTGTTCATTAGAAAGTATTATTAAAATGAAATGCACATTACAAAAAAGTGTTGTGGGATGTAATTTTGCAGATATGTAACATTCAGGTGTTCTTTTTGTGTATGGCACGTAGAGATTCCTAGTACAAGAACTATTTTGGGGCTTGACAGAGACACTAGTTTTTGGGGTTTAATGGAACTGACAATAGTAGTTTTGTACCATTTGGCAAATTGTTGTGCTTTATTTTATACCTTGTTGCATTTTGGAGGTATGTGAGCTTAAACCTTACTAAACAACTAAATACAACCAAAGGTCTGTATTAATGAACACTGAATTATACTACAGTATCAATAGTAGTAAATTGTTATGTACATATTGTTTGTTAATACAGTCCATACAGTCTGTACATAAATGTATTACATTTCTAATCATTTTTTTAATATTCATACCAGCTCTTACCATTCTGCTTTCAGTTTATTTTGAAAATATGCTCATTCCAAGTATATGCAGACTTTACAGTTCATTTATTCCTGTATATAAATAAGTGCAATATAAAGATGTATACAGTCTTTGCTATGTTAGGTTTATATGCAGTTATTAAAAGAAAAAAAACCTTTTTGCCAAAGCAATGGAGTATGTAATTGGTAATCATGGTTACTGTGGTAAATGGTGGTATTATTTAAAGCTTTTTCCATATTCTTATTCTTTTAAGACATTAATTTAGTAATTTTATATTTGGGGGAAATAAAGGTTTTTAATTTTATTTAACTGGAAGCACTGTTCTGCTGTAATTAAACATTCTGTATTACATCTATATTAAAAGGAAAAAGGTAGTTACTTTTCTCACTGTGTGCTCTGGTTTTTAATTTTAGATTTATGCCTGACATTTGGGAAATATGAAAGCTTGATCAAAAAAATGGCTTTTTGCAACTTGAGTGTGAGATGAGATGCAGACACTTCTAGGGTTTACTTCATATTCTTTGTCAACAAAGGGAATTTAGGTTATTAGTTGAGACATCAGTTTTAAGTCCATCACATTTAACACAAGTAGAATGTTACTGTAACTACAGGTCGTTATTCACCAAAACAGTTAATATTAGGAAGTCTTCAAAACTTTTCATCACATAACAGTAGAAATCATCTATTCCTTCTGACATAAGGTTACTGTCATTTTCTGTAGTGTAGTCTGAATCACGTATGTTGCCATTACTCATCAAGGGTTTTTCCAAAACAGCTCATCCTGTTAGGCAGGGAAATGCTGGGTAACTGCTTTTACCAATTATGTTCCTGAAAAAATTTTTGTTTGTTTAAAATTCTTTTCCTTAAAAAGGAAAAAATCAGAGATAAACACTTCTAGACAGTGAAACCATAATGCTGTGTTAAGAGGCAGACTGCTTTCTTCCTCTCTGCCCTATATGCTTCACACTTTTGTTCATTTGTGGAAATCGGTGTAGGAACACCTACCTCAAAAGGTAATTCATTATTAGGAGCATATATCCTGTAAAGTTGTTTTGCCATTCAAGAAGATTTCTGTATTCATGTATTAATAGAAATCGTGTACATCGTGAAGGCTTCTTCTGAATACCTCCCTTTTTCTAACTTTTTCCACTTTGCCCTGGGAGCAGAACTGACAATTTCCTACAGTTGTGCAACACTTTTTGAACTAAGACCTCAAATTGATGGAGTTTTGTCTGCTAACAAACCTATAAATGTAGTATGTATTCAGAATTGAATACATATCTATGCGTATGTATAGATACATCTAAATATATGTATAACTGTTCTGCTTACTTGCTGAAAGTTGGCCTATGAAAAACAGTGAACAAAATATTGCTGTAGGTTTACTTAGGGTTGTATTAATGATTAACACATGTTCAACTCTATAAACAAAATCTCTGTAGACTTAATCTAACGTGATGCATTTATATGCACGCACCCTCTACTGTTTTGGTTTTAGATATACTAATATTATAATTGTGGGGTTTTACCTCCTGAATAATTCCTTCTCTACCAGCTTCCCTTCTCTGTTGTTACTTCCATAACATGCAAATTAAGTATCCAGTATGAGTTAATTTATTTGTAAAGACTTGGACTCTGATAGTTTTGGAAGAGAGTTGATTTTCTTCACAGTAGCTGGGATGGGGCTGTGTTTTGGACTTGTGCTGCAAACTGTATTGGTGACACAGGGATATTTTAGCTATTACTGAGCAGCGCTTGTACAGAGTCAAGGCCTTTTCTGCTTTTCACATTGCCACGCCAATGAGCAGGCTAGGGATGCACAAGGAGTTGGGAGGGGACACAGCTGGGACAGCTGACCCCAACTGACCACAGGGATATCCCATGCTGTATCATGTCATGCTCAGCAACAAAAACTATGGAGAAAGTTTGCCAGAGCAACAGTTGCTCAAGGACTGGCTGGGCATTGGTCAGCTGGTGGTGAGCAATTGAGGGATTTTTGCATAATTTCTTTTTCTTGGTTTTGTTTTGGTTTTTTTTACATACTAAACTATTTTAATCTACAGATTTTTTTGCTTTTACCCTTCTGATTCTGACCCCTGTCCCACTGTGGAGGATTGACTCAGCAGCTGGGTGAAGTTAAACCACAGTAGTCCTTTTTGGCACCCAATGGTGTTGGGCTTGAAGGGTTTGATATAAGAGGTTGACCACAGCGTGTTAGAGGGAACTGATAATTATTATCTGTTTAACAGTTGGTGGTTGCGCTGTTGATTTACTTGTTGACAGCATTGGTTTATCTAATCACTGCCTTACTCCCTATGTTTTTGCTCTGCATCAAATTGGAGAGCTTGTTAAAGGCTGGATTTGACTTCTTCCATTTGCTGTGCAGTGTATTGTTTGGTTGTGTCTTGCCTGGGAGAACTATGATAAAAGCATTGGCCTTGAGCCTAATCTGGTATTTGAGCCCTGCATTGTTGCCTTCCCTGTACTTCGGGAACCATCTCATGAAGACAGTGAACAATTACACATTTTCTGTTTTCTCCTCCAAGAACCAATTGGTGGATGAAACAAAGAATGGCACTTCCCCCTTCTTTTTCTGCGGGGTAGATGTTTTCTCCCTTTTTACAATAACTCTTTGGTATCTTGAGCATCCTTTGGTAACTAAAATATTCCTATTAGCGTGTTTCAAGAATATGTTTCCAGCTTTTCCTGAGGTTAATTCACTATTCAGGAACATCACACAGGGTATGTCCCAAGGTGGTATGGGTAGCAAGGCACGTGGGAGAATATGGGCAGGCACCTACAAGGGTTGTCACCTCCGACAGTCTGGGACTTCCCTGAACAAGTGCAGGATCTTGAAGAAAGTGATCAAGTATTTGAAAAAAGGATGCCCTGGCTATGTCATAATTTACCACTCTGCCAGGGCCTGATAGATGCCTACTGAGCACTATTTGGGAACCTCAAGGCGAAGAGAGCGTCTCCAGATCTGAAGACATAAAAACAGACACTGGCTAAACCAGAGACCCAACACTCAGCTATAGCAATCTGTACTGACACGGAATATCACGTACTGCAGGGAAGAGGAAGTAAAGTCACAGGAACGAGGATGCGAGTTGAGCTTTAAGGAAAGTAAAGATGCTTCAAAAATCTATTTTACTGTTGCCACAGTTACATACACAACAGCAACTTGTAATATGGTCTCGGGGGTCTTTGCAATTAGGTTTCAGGCTGGATCTGGTAAGCAGAAAATTAAACAAAACAAAAATGTTATAAATATTTTTTAAAAATATTTAATTAAATTGAATTATTTCAAATAAAGCAGTGTATTTAGATGAACCTGGCTCTTAAGAAAAACACCTAGTCTAGTAAGTCAGGCAATGTTTTTTCTTATACTCAGTTTCTTTTATCTTTGGTTTCTTTGTGAGAAGGCTTCAGTACATAGAAGACATTGTCTGTCACAAAGGCTATCCAGTGAAGTTTGAGAGGACTCCTGTTCTGGGGTTTTTTGTGGACTGAAAAAACTCTGTATTTAACTGTGCGGATCCTTGGACTTCTTGGACAGAGGGATAAGACTAGGGATCCTGGGACTTCTTAGACAGAGGGATATTTGTGAAAGTGACCATTTTAACACCTTTAAAATATTTGTCGGTGGCTTTTTCCTTTCTAAAGTATTTTACTGAATGTATAATGAGTCATTTAAAAGCCATTTAGACTCTAAATATCTTTTGGCCTTGACACAAATAATTTAAATTATATCTAGTGGCTAGGCAGTATTTTCTGTTCAAGTTAACTGTAGCAGATATTAGGGGTTTTTTTCCTGGCATTTTCTGCTTAGGAGGAGTTTTATAATTTCTCTCTATGCAAAACTTGCAGTTGTTGTTTTTCTGCAAAAGCAAGATATGATTGATATTAGTAAAGTACCTAGGGAATGCTACACCTTGTTCAACTGCTTGTTGTAAATGATGAAAAAGCACTGAGAGTTTTGCGAGTTGCATGTTTCTTTTTTACTGTCTGAATTGTGCAATTACAGATTAGCTAGCTGGAAAGACAGAAAAGAGGAGGCCAAAGGGCTTTAGGTAAATAAACTTTCACTGAATCCTTAGAGCTTCTCTGTTTTTTATATGTGTGTCTCTGTCCTGTAAGATTCATTGACATTGGATACCTGAATGGCACGTGTAGCTTCTTGCGATGCTACAGCTACTGCTGTGTAATCTCTTTATGTTTGTCACTGTGATATCAGACTCCCAAAAATGTGAATGTTTGATGTGACAATTTAGGATGGGGAACATGAAAATTGTGAGCAAAACTGGCAGAATTGCAGCTGAGACTTATGTTCCAAAATAAATATTCCTTTAAATTAGTTAATTTCTATTTAATATTTTAAGAATTGGAATAAGGTTTGAGCAGCTTTACACAAACTTAATTTTCAAGTAAAAGTGAGACATCAGATTTTTTTCAAGCATATGAGGGAAAGAAGATGTCTACTGGTCTAGAATAGTTATCAGACTATATAAGAAAATGCTGGTAGCCATTGAATAAGTAAGTTTGAATTGGCATTTAGTGTTTGAAAAAAACAATTCTGAAACCTGGAAGAAATCTGAACAAAAACTGACTGCATTAGCACAACTACCAAGATAGAAGTGAAACTTCTGATAGAGCTGTTAAGTAACGTGATTTTTTTTTCAGTAACGTGATTTCCTGTAAATGGAAGAGATAAGAAGTTCCCAAGGTCGTATTGGTCATTCCATAACTGTGCGAACTCTGTGAACGTTGCTTGGGGAGGGATAAATCCAGAGCTGTATTTCATTAACTGAAGGTTTAGTAGCCACATTAACCATAGCAGTCAATAACAAGGCACTAAGGGGACCAACACCTTTTGTAATTGGTCTAATGAGATGAAAGAATTGTCAACATAACTATTGAGACTTTTAAAAGGCCTGTGACAGGAAAGAAAATTTCTGTTCATCAATAACAGCCTGTTGAGGTTGTTTTCTTTCAGATTGCTTAAAGCTTTTTTCTCTCATTGTCTGCAGTGTTGGATCCTTGTTCTGCATCCATAATTTGAAACAGCTGAATATTTTCTCATCACAGTGTGCTCAGAGACTATGAAAATACATACAAAATACACAATAAAGCCTTAAAAAAATTTTGTTTGATTGTGCCTAGAGAAATTATGTGACTGTATTTTATTTTTCACTTACTTGAGAAAGATAAACAGGGAAGGTGACACCCTAAACTAAAATGGTTTGTTATCTGGTTTGGAGATACTGATAACTCCAAACCATTGGAACAGAAATAGAAATGAAGGAGTGCACCAGCTGGTAAAGCACAAAGCAGCAATGTGTTGATGAAGAGCTGTGTTGTTAAACTGTGTCCTCAGAACTGGA